CTTTGAAATGATGTAAGAAATACAGTAAAATTTAGCATTGCATAACTCAGAAGGATAACATTGGAAGAGACCAGAGTTTATCCTCTTTTTCTTCACTTTATATTCCTCTTTTCTGTTTGACTTATGATGAGCACATATTACTTTAAAAAAAAGAAAAAGAAAAAGGTAAGCAGCAAAGTACAGAGTTTAACTTCAGTCTTTAATCAGTAATAGAATATGTTTGCATTTTTTATAATATGCTCATTTTTAGTACACGGTTATTGTAAAACTGTCTACTCATACTCATGTATTTTCTTTCACCTTAGCAATGTCTGACCGTCAAGAGAGTGCTCTTATAGAGCTAATGGTGTGTACGATTCGTCAAGCTGCTGAGGCACACCCTCCGGTGGGAAGGGGTACCGGCAAAAGAGTAAGTTACATTAGTGAGAAATACACAAAAAGACTTTTAAAGTAATTAACTGTCCTTAATATTTGGAAATTTTACTGGTATTTATATCCCTAAAAACATGGTGTTTTTATAAATGATGCATATTATGGTACTTCATCTTTATATCCTATCTACTCAGGTTCCAGGTATAGATTCTTTTCTTCATGTTCCCACAGTACCTGTACTACTTCTATTATAGTACTTACATAGTATTTTAAGAGTTTTTATATTCATATCTATTAAAAGTCAGTGAAGATTTGGGAGACAAAATGCCTGGTTTGCAAGCTCTTCTGTTTAGCAGCTATATAGTCTTTACATAAATGAATATTTTTTTGTATTCCATAGTTTCCTTATCTGTAACATGGGACTAATAATACAGATATTATTTGTATTAAAGAATGAGTTGAGATAATCACAGATGGAGAGACTGCTGGTTCTGTTGGTATGAAGAGTTAGGCAGATTCTTTCTGCAATAAAACAAGTTTAAACCTGGAAAATATTGTCAAAAACATCCACATCAGTGCTCTGGAAATTCACCAAAGATAAAAAACAAATTGAAAAGTATTCTTTCCTGGAAAACAGATAGAGCTTCAGGTAAAAGCGGCAGGAGTCTGTGACCTTCTGCCCTGGGCTTACAGCACACACAGCCTGGTTGGTGAGATCTATAGTTTGTTACCAGAGTGACACTGGCTCCAAAAACCAGCAGCTTTGCTGTCAGAATGGATTCAATATGAACAAGTGGTAAAAGGCCACAGCTTTGTTAACTAGAAGTGACAAACTTGGTAGAAATAAACAGGGAAAACCCACAGTTTTGATAATCTAAGGTTGTGGTAAGAGTGGTAGACCAGTCAAAAATTTAACTGAAAAACTCTGAAAATGAGAAAGCCATAAAAGGGTTAGATAAGCTCTCCATACATCCCTGGCTGACAGGGAAACCTTAGAGAACCCAATGGAAAATAAAAGTAAAGCCAAATATAAGAACTAGGTGAATTTTGAATATACTCTATAACTGACAACAGATCATTCCTCAGAGGGGAGAAGCCTTATTGATTTGTGGTATTTGAGTACAGTCTCTACCCAGATCATTGTCTAACCTACTAATCTATTCAAATACAATAGGGACTGCTATGAAGACAGACTGAAAAACAAAAGTAAGAATAAAAATTCTGAGTAGAGAGAGCAGAAACCACTCATAGTGGGGAAATAGATTACATAGTTTGAGTTAAAGTTTCTCTTAAAAAAATTAAACTTACAAAAATAAGATAAAAATCCATAATTATTATATTATCCAAAAATGTCTCCTTTTCAAGAAAAATTATAGTCATGCAAAAAAATAATAAAATGTGACCATACTCAGGGAAAAAAGCAAACAATAGAAATGGTTCTCAGTAGGCCCAGGTATTAAATTTAGCAGGCAGAGACTTCAGAGGCCTTTTTATAAATATGTTCCTAGAATTACAAGAAAATGTGAAAATAAGAAGTGGAGAATCTTAATAATGAAAAACCAAATGGAAATTCTGGACTTGAAAAGGACAGTGTAGAAATTTAAAATTCACTAGCTGGGCTCATTAGCAAATTTGAGATGACAGAAGAAGTAAACAGTGAACATGAAGATTAATAGAAATTATTCATTCTGAAAAAGAAAAAAAAGATTGAAGAAAAATGAACAAAACCTCAGAAATGTGTGGAACACCATCAAGTGCATCAAAATACGTGTAATGGAAGCCCAGAAAGAAAGGAGAGGGAAAAAGGCAGGAAAAATATTTGAAGAAATAATCACCAAAAACTTCCCAAATTTGATGAGAAAACAATTTACAGATTCAAGTTTAGCAAAACCCAAGTAGAATAAACACAAAGGGTCCGTATATAGACATAACAGAGTCACAGTGTTGAAAGACAAAGACAAAAAGTCTTGAAAACAAGAAGAGAAAACTAACTCATACAGAAGGTAACAGCAATAGGATTAGCAGTTGACCTCTTATCAGGAACAGCGGAATGGCAGTATTCACTGAAAGTCAATTAGGAATTTAAAATTCAATAAGATTATCTTTCAGAAATGAAAGTGTAATAAGATAAATAAAGGTGTACCAGATAAATAAAAAACAAAGATTGAGAAAATGTGTTGCTTAGAAGACCTGCCATATAAGAAATAGTAAAAGTCCTTCAAGCCATAAGGAATATTACCAGATGGTAACTTTCATCCACAGGAAGGAAGGAAGAGCACTAGAAACGTTAAATATGTGGGTGGATATAAAAGACTGTGTATATATATATATATATATATATATACACACACACACACATATATATGGGTTTTTTTCCTTTTCTTCTCAGTTTTTTTAAAAGGACATGAGATTATTTAAATAACTGTAGCACTGTAGTATTGAGATTATAACATAGATGTAATATATGTGACAATAATAGCACAAAAGAGAAAAAGATATAGAACAGTATTGGTGCAAAATTGGAATAGTTTATTGTAATTTATTCAATATTAACCTGAAGTCAATTATAAGTTAAAGATGTATACTTTAAGCCTCAGAGCAAACATTTGTACCTAAAAAGGAAAAAAAAATCAAGAATAATTGTAACAGTACACTAAAAAAAAATGTTTAACTCCAGAGAAAGTAAGTAGAGGAGGAACAGAGGAACAAAAAAGATATAGATAACAAATAGCAAAATGGCTGACATAAACTCAACCATATCAAAAATTATATTCAGGCCAGGCGCGGTGGCTCACGCCTGTAATCCTAGCTCTTTGGGAGGCCGAGGCGAGCTGATCGTTTGAGCTCAGGAGTTCGAAACCAGCCTGAGCAAGAGCGAGACCCTGTCTCTACTAAAAATAGAAAGAAATTAATCAGACAACTAAAAATATAT